TATTATTAGAGTTTTTAAAATATTAATATTTATATCTAGATTATAAATATAAATTTTAATTTAAACTCTATATAGAAAAAGATCTAAATATATATTAATAACTATATATAATAAAACCCTATATATAACTAATTATATATTATATCTAATTTTAAAATAATTTTATTTATAATTAAAAAAAATAATATAAATAGTTTATATAAATAGAAAAATAAAAAAAATAGAATTAAAGATTAAATATAAACTAAAGATAAATAAAAATAAGTTATATAGATCTTATTATATATAGCCTGATTTTAGGATATACCTCTTATATATAGTAATAACTATAAAAAAAAAATAGCAGCAGATAGTATAGCCTATATATATACCTGGGTCCTGGATATCTCCTTGGTTCCTATAGTATGCCGTGACAGGAGCCTGCAGATAAAATAATAATCGCAACCCCCACTGCGTGTGCATACAGACCGCAAGCCACTTATGCTTTTGATCTATGCCGCTCCTGGAGGAAAGACTATCCGATGTTGGCACCGTTCTGCCGTTCTCTAGGCACTTCTACTAGCAGTTCTCCCTCATGCATGCCACTGGAGCTAAGGCTTGGGAATTTATGCAATCTACATGTATGTATTTGGGCATAACGAGACTCACTGATCCTCGTCGCCGAGGAGGACAAGAGACAAGGCGATCCATTGATAGAGCGTGAGCCAGGAGATGAGAGTTGCAAGAGCCTGGAAGTGGATATATTGTTAAATCAGAGCTGTAGGAACTACTTCTATTCCTCACAATCACGATTTTTACCCCTGTGTGCCAGTGAGGACATTCCCGCCGCTTTGGAGCTGTGTAGTACAAGAGAGGTAGAATGGTGCAGTGGAGGCATTGTCTGAGAGGAAACGAACATGGAGATTAAAATATTCCAAACGAAGGTACAGTATAACGCAACCACCCCATGCCCTTTAACCCACAATATTCTCATTCTTCCAGCCTTGTCTCTATTAACCTGTTCACATTCTCCTGAAACATGACCTCCTCTTGTCCAAGCAATGCCTTGGCCGATTCGAGCTTCAGGTCCGCCGTCCTCAGCTGTTCTTCGGCTCTTCTCCAAGAGTCAAGGGAACGAGCAGTATCTTGATGCGCCTTGGCGAGGTGGTATTTGGTTTCAGCTTCAACAAAGGTAAGAGATGCCTGAAACACAGCTATATGGTCAAGTCGGAGAGCATCGAGGGCTGGTAATAGCTTCTCCAGAAGCCCCGAACCATGTACCAGCACTTGACGTGGAGGTTCATCCTGTCGCTCTTGTTCCTCGCCATTATCTGGCTCCTCGGTTCCAAGTCGTTTGATCCATACCCAGGCGTCGGTATCGTTGGCCATAGTAGTTTCAAGGGATTCGAGATGCTGCTGCAAAGTCTCTTTGTGGTCGAGCCATATTACTGTGCTGATCTCCTGTTCCCCAAGCGCATGGCACAAGCCACGTTTTAGCTCGGCCTCGACATGCGACAGTATCTTGCTAAAGAGTCTGCGCATGCGCTTGAGGCCTGGGAAACGACCAGGGCCTAATCTAAACCACAAATAATCTTGGATTTGGCTGTCGCTTGCCATGCTTGGCAGAGCACTTCCAGTAAGCAACAGGCGGAGCATCTCGACTATGAGAAAGCCTTTGCATCCGCCGCAGAACCGGAGGCTCCCTCTTTCCTTTGACAAGTATTCAACAACCGGAACCTCACAGAATACCTGTATCAGCTTAGCTAGTATCCTAATAAACGTAGTTCGATAAGGGCCCGACGAACCTTGTCCGTGTAATGCCCTAGTTCTGGAGCCATTATTCGTCACAAGAATAGGTTGTACGTGTCGGTGTATGCGTGTCAGGGAGAGGATGAAGGATGGAGAGGATGAGCAGCAGATGTAGAGGGAAGCACTGGAGCATAGCAGGAGAGACAGTAGTAGAAAGCAGGAGAGAATAACGACGAAAGAAACGAAAGATATGTAGCTGCCGTCTTTTTATTGCACCAAAAGCAAAAGCGGAACGTTGCGTTTGACAGTTTGAAGTGCGAGGTTCCCAGATAATCACATCTGACACGTTTGCCATCTGTCCCACAAACTCTGCAGCAGTGAGACAGTGATACTTATCTGCTTCCAATTATACCAGAGCAAACCTTGCTCGTAGTGTACGTCAGTCCATATGCAGCGTTAGCATAGACATTTACATCGCCTCGCTCGACCTCCCCGTACCTCGATAACTGAGACTGTTCCTCTACCTATATATTAAAGGCGAAATACTTACAGCGCTCACAAGGGCAGATGAGACAGTGGGATGGCTTCGTTGGTCGATACTAACCCCAACGGTTTCACATCGGAGATGGATGGTTTTCTGCAGCACCTTTTGACATCATCTGCCGTCTGCCGTTGCAAACACCAGGTAGCAGCAGCGAGAGCTGCATACTGGCCATCTTAATGCCAATCTATTACTCAGGATGACCAGGGCTTGTGTCTTGTACAGGCTCGCACACATTGCAAGGGACGAGAAGAATAGGGGTTGGGAGCGCAACCCAAAGCAAGCCTGCGATTAGTTCAAGAAATGTCCGAACCAAAATCATACCGAAGCCGAAGATCTTCTACCAGCCAGCTCGGCGTTATCGGCTATCCCGTCGGATATGTACGATATGAATCAATCCCAGATCTCCCGCATGCGCAGACATCTAACCGCTAGAGAGCGAGGAGACTAGATGCCCGACGAAGCCAATAATGGAAGCGAAGAAGTATGGCTGAACAGATGCAGAGCTACGCGGCAGCTACAGGCTCTTGGAAATATCGTCGGCCAAGTCAATATGGGACTCTGGGGGCTACAATTAAGCAACGAACCTCGTCTCGGGAAGCAGGCTGGGGGAAGCGGGCTAAGGGAAATCGAAAATGACATGACTGCTTTGAGGCAGTAGCTGTAGGAGGCAAGTTGAAGCCATTTTTGGCAAATGGCCTTGGACGTAAGAGGTGGGCGAAATGACATATGATCTAAAATGAGGCGGATGGGAATAAGAAATAGCTCTCCTCAGCACAAAGTCATTCTTTTCCGCGATCTACTAAGCATTTATCTCTATCCATGCGTCTATGCGTTCTGCCCAAAAGCGAAACTCAAGCCATCAATTATTCATTGAACGTCCAAAGTATGCCACGGCAATCTAGACTTCCTTGTCCTCTCGCATTAGCTGTCCAAGTCTTTCCAGAGACGGACCCTCTCTTCTAGAGAGTGCAACCTCTGCTGAGCGCTTTCGAACTGAGCCTCCTTCTCTCCAACTTCATTTGTATCTGCAGTATCCCAATCTGCCTCTGGCATTCTCATCAATTTAGCCTTCATCGAACAAAACAAGGCGCCAAGATCCTCCATGCTGCGGCCATGGAGGGGACTAAGGTCCATCATGCCTTCTAAATGCTCGCGCACCGAAACAATCGCTCTTTCCCCTTGAGAGTAGTAAATGTGAAGTAGCTCCGTCTTGGCTCCCCCAACCTCCTCGATGGCCATGCAAAGACGCCTGTAGTTATTCTCTGTTATGCCCATGCTATTTCCTGTGGAGGATAGAGGCGTCAGCATTGCTAGGTTTTCGCGTTCGCGTCCGCCCCCCCGGTGACGGATGGAGCTTGTAGAACCTTGGCTGCTGCCCCCCAAGTCGAGTTGAGCAACCCATTCTTCGACCCTACTGAGCTGTTGGGGAGGCATGGACATATATGGGCTGTATTTGGAAGCAGTTGAACTAGAACGGTCCTCGCTAGGAGCGATGCGACAGCGGCTGCGGTCAACCCCAGTCTGCGGCTGGACAGAGGTCGGCTTATGGCTTTTGGCGTAGCCCTCAAAGGTGGAGAGGATGGTTCGGGGTGACTGCGCAGTAACGTGAGATGGCAAAGGGTTGATGACTGAGCCTTCCAAGCTGAGACTCGATGCCATGTCGATGAGATCTTCGCAACGATCATGCATTACTGTAGATTGGACCGAGAGGTCACTCAGATCGTCGTTATCGTCGAAAGGGGAGGGAACTGTCCGGTTGTCATTAGCCGGGTGCTGTGTCTCGTCGTTATTCTTGTGGTCCTGGCCGTGGTCGAATGGACAAGGATCCGTCGCGTCGTCCCGCGGAGGGCATGTATCCCCATTCCAATGAGCGTTGTTCCAAGTCTTGGTGTATTCCTGCCACTTGGCCCCCCAGGTCTTTCCATTCATGAAGGACAAGACCGCCCCTTGTTCTTCAAGCTGACTAAAGAGGACAAGCAGGCGGGAGATGACTCTATACGTCACATTCGTATTCTCCACGCAACCAGGCTGGTAGAGATTCAGGCTCTTTAGCAGTTCTGGGATGGCTTTCTGGATTTCACAGCCGGGTTAGCGAGTTCCAAGTGCAGAAGACAAGGTTTAAATGAGGGAGGGGCCTGTACATATCGGATCGAGTCCCTGCTAACTTCATACCTGGCTAGATGCTTCAGCATGAGTATCTTGGCGTGCGGGCAGGTCCATGCCACTCTGGCACTTGGACTGGAGCGTAGACTTGTGGTGAGAGAATACTCAGACACGGTCTTGGTGTCTTGGACAGACATGGCGGTGATGCACCAAATAGGATCATCACCAACGTACAAAAACAAAGTAGATGCCAAAGATTGAAGTACTTGTAATTTGGATGCTCTAGGGTAGTTTCACGTGTGGTATGACAGATGACAGTATCATAGTGAATAGGTACCTAAACCGTAGCATAATGCAGACGTTTAAAATCGCGGCAGCGGCTCCATTTATTCCACGACTCGTCCTCTGCCCACAGGGTAGGGGGGTATTTTACAAAAAACACTGCAAATGGGTCATTTTTGAATCCACCCTGCCACACCACGAATTCCGGGATTAAGAAATTGGAAATAAATAAATTTTGTAGCAATTTGTATATATTTTATTCAGGGTTTATTTTAGGATCGTGAGATATAAAGTATTATACTGTATAAGAGGTTTTTTTAACGTTTGAATTTATAACTTTTAACTAGCTATTCCGGACCTTTGCAGAGGCCCGTCTTACCCGGCCTGCCCGGAAAAGAGAGTAGCTTTCCGTATTACTATTATCTACAGATATTCTCTGCCTCTTATTAGATAAATTATTATTATATGCCTCTTCAGCCTCCTCGTTAGGCTCAACTGTATCCCCAGCTTTAACAGAGGCCTCTCGTAGCTGCTCTTTAACAGAGGCCTCTTGTAGCCGCTCTTTAATAAAGGACTTTTATGATCGCTCTGTAATAACCTGTATTTCCTCCTCTTTATCGCTGTCAGGGAGAGGCTGCATTGGCGGGAAGGCTTTAAGGTCTATCTCTAATGGCTGCTCTTTTTTTATTGGTATAGGCATAGGTACAGCCTGCTTGCGTTTGCATGATATAGGAGCCTTCTCAACCTGCGCAAGCTCTTATATTATCTTGTAAAATTCAATAAATAAGATGACCCTCTTCTCCTCAAATAACTAACTAAAGGTGTTACTTTTATTGAATATTATATAACTATGAAATTACCTAGGTTCCGAGGTAATACAGATAAATATACCTACCTCAGCCCTCAGAGGTTTTACCCAGTTCGTGCTAAATCGTACGAGCGTTATATCGAAGCCCTCGGCAGGGAAGAAGTAATAAATATAGCTATCAATAAGGGTATATCTGTCGAGGTCTTCAGCTTTAAGCTACGGGATTAAAGGGATATCTATATTATCTAGGAATTATTAGCTAGGAGCTAAAGCTAGAGGAAGAGGAAGTGAGATAAACCTAGTAATATGGTCTTTGTAGCCTTAAAGAAGCTAAGTATATTATTAATAAAGCTCTCTAAATAAAGAGGCTTAATCTGTAGCTATAGGCTAAGGGGACTTTTAAAAGGAGATTTTTCTTTAGAGGCTCGTATTAAAGTATTTACCTCTCTTATACGCTAGTTAAATATATTAAATATTTTGTTACATATTAAAGCCGGTGTTGATGATCTTAATGATAGTAATAACCTGTTGAACCGAGAGATAGGTGTATAGTATGGGATATTTGTTCTAAGCCCTAACGAGCTTCTCCGAGAAGATAATAAGCCCCTCCGAGAAGAAGAGTGATTTAACTGCTACTACAGAGTTATATTATTTACTTCAAGATCGTAGGCTGCTAGCTAAAGCAGGTTGTAGAAGTGGTAAAACTCCTTATAGTTATAGTATTTATGAATCTCTGAGTACTTTACCTTCGTTAGGTAATCTATGTAGCAGCTAGGAATTAAGTTTATTATATAAGGATAAAGAAGAGGCTTACTAATTATAATATGATGAGAAATAAGGAGTTAAGTAGCTATAATACTGGAGGAATTATATTATTTTTACTGTATTTAAAAGGGGGGAAATTATAAGTTATTATAAGGCTAGCTATAATAAGGCTAGCAGATAGATCATAATAATATATACCTGTTACTATAAGACTTATCCTATAATAACTATTCTAAATCTTATTTAAAAATAATAGGAGATATAGTATTTAATAGCTCTAAATCTACTTAATTTGGTATGAAAATTTTATATTTATATTATTTAAAGCGGTATTATAAGGGCGGTTTAAAAATATAGTAAAATTATAAGAATATACAGCTGTATTATGCAGCTATATCACACGGTATTATATATAATACTGCAATTAAAGATATATTATAATATATTACTATAATATAATAGAAAATCCCTGCTGATAATACTTATAAATAACTAGATAAATTATAATTAAAAAAAATTATAAGATATATTATTTTAAAGCTCTTCTTCTTCTATATCTGGATCTTATATCTGTTCTTAGATATCTTGCGGAATAGTATTACTAGAGAGGCTAGAGGGTATAGTATAGTTATATTAAAGTAAGTGCTTATATTCCTTCGCGTTACCCCTATAAATTAGTATAAGATCTAATACTAGCTACTGCCCTACTTCCTTATATATCTTAATAAGATTATATAGTAATAAATACTCCCTAATAAATAGCTTCTTAGTATTATCTTACAGGTTAATATACCTATTAAATCCTATCTCTACTAGCCTCTCTTAGTACTAGTTTATTATAAACTTAAGCAGAAGAGATTCTATATCTATCTCAGCAAGAGGCTTATATATATTATTAAGAGCCTACTAATCTGGAGCTTACTTATTATTACTAAGAGGAATACCCTAATTAGGAGCCTTTATTATATAATAGAGATCCTGAGGAATACCGGATATAATATAAGGGTAGTTCTTCTGATTATAAATCCTATAGCTATTCTATAGTATTATAAACTGGGCTAATTTATCCTGAATTATAGAACTGTAGATAGTATAGACTGCTATTTAGTCTGCTTTATTATTTTCCCTGAAAAGTATATATCCAGCTAGTTCGTTAAAAAATATAATCTAGTGATCTATAGTACCCTGATAAAGCTACTGCTACTAAGACTTAATTTTAATATTCCTCTTGCTAGGGCTATATATGTAGCAGCTACTTAGGCGATCTCCTTATTTATAATAATATTCAGTTCTATCCTTATTAATAAATCTCAGCTTCTTAGGCCCTATCTTTATAAGGGTAGCTTAGGCTGCTATCTATAAGGGAGTCTTAGTACTATAGTTAGAGCAGGTAAAAAAAGACTATATCTGTAGGTACCTAATAGTCTGAAGAAACTGCTTTAATGTACTTATTAAGGTTATTACTAACCGGCTAATATAGAATTAAATTATATACCTTGAATACGTATTAATATAAGTATATATTTAAAATCCGAACCTCTTTAACTTCTTATAGCTGTTAAGAAACTATATAAAGTTAGGCTCCGGTATATAGAAGTTGTAGTAATATCTGAGATATACGTTATACTGGCTAGTAACTTCCTTAGGAAAAATAGCTGTATAGGCTGAGTAAAGCCGGTATTATAATATAAGAATCTTACCTTGCTGATATATATAGGTATAAAGAAGCCCTCTTCCAAGGCCTAGGATTATACTGCTTTTTTTAAGGTTATCTTATAGGAATTCTAGTACATACTGGAGGTTAGCTAGTTACTCTTCCTTTATCTGAAGCTGATACTTGAGGCCTTTCTGGAAGCAGACTTTTCGGATAAGAAAAGGGTATATAATATAGCCTTCTTATTAGAGATTATGAAGGAGAGATTTATCTGAGTATCTGAAAGTATAAAATAGATACTTCAGGTGTTTAATAAGCTCTTCTGTAGCTACTAGAGCATAGTATTATATATCTAAATACCAGTCTCGAAGTTAGCTGTAGAATGAGCGTAGTAATACTATTAGAAGGCCCTGTTCCCGAAGACAGTTATTAATATCAGCGTAGATAGCTTTAATTAAATCATCTTGAAAATATCGCTCTAATATCTCTTTATAGTAAGAAGTTAGGCTAGCTCTTGTATATAACTAGCTCGGCCGAAGTTTAACTAGGTGATAAGTAAGTATACGGATTGAAATTATACTGCTACCGTCAGCAGTAATCAATTTATTCAGCGAAAAAAGTATCTATTAGTTAGTTCGATTGAGCTTTAACTGATTAAAAAGAAAATCTGAATATCTCGCAAGATTATTATGTTACGGTATGTTGAAAACTGGGCTTGTATTGCGATATGTTGTTGTGAGGGATTTCTAAGTATTGTGTTGGGGTTGTGGAGCAAAAATGACCCATTTGCAGTCTTTTTTGTAAAATACCCCCCTAACAGGGCGTAGCGCGTGTCCAAAAATTTTTTTCTCTCAAGATACAACAAGACCAATGGCACAATCGCTTGTATTCATTACTGCCGCCGTGCACCGTAACTGAAAAAGGCATCGTGCAATCATCGTGTACTAATCGATTGCTCGGCCCAACATCAATCCGTACACACCCATTATACTCCGGTAAGCTTCAATGTTTGTGCTCTAGCCGTGAAAAACGTTTCAGCTTGTATACATGCATGCACTGTTTAGATTATGCCACCCCGTGATTCCATCCCAGCCCGTTCAACGTTCAGCAGAAGTATCAAAAGAAGCAGCAGGTAGGGGATGTATTGTTCGCCAGTCACGGCGGCATGAATGCAGCCCACACCTGTACGTGCTACTATAATCCGGTATCAATTTCTACTCCTAGCAAGCATTTTCTCTCCTCTCAGCTCCTTCGTTGGGTATACGGAATTGTCACGGCGTACGGTTCCTTCAAGGACCACACGCGGAGAATTAGAAGATCTAGTCTTCCGACTGACGTGACACCAGACCACAGCAGCCACAGCATCTCTGACAAGTGGCTGAAATAAAACATGGCATACCAGAGCTCTTTTCATGCAAGCTGGAGACATTATTCTGTCATTAATAATACCCCAAATAATAACAGTAAAATAATATCTTACTATATACATCTAATTTAGCTTGATATTATATTAATAACTGGGCTGATTGTTTTAACATTATATCGAAATTTGAGGCTGTATGGAGGCTTCAATTGGTGTGCCATGTTGTATTTCAGCTACTTGCCTGAATATCGAATATACATCTGTGTTATCTGCCTAGACTTTTCTCCATCGCCTCAGACACCGGCTTCGCTCCTAGCTGCTGCGTCACCCACACTCTCGTCATCTGCTTTGGGTTCTTTATCCATGGCGCTGCTTCCATGAGCTTTCGCTCTTTCGTCTGGGCACAAGGAAGAATGATCAAAGCTCTTCTCTCTGACTGCATCGTTGTACAAGTTCCGACTAAATATATCGGTGACCGAGTGGAATGAAATCGAGGAGATCATCATGGCGATTAGGCGCTGTGGGTGACAGCCTGTGCGTATCAGATGGACGGGCTGAATGTTCGGGTACCTAGACCAACATTCGTACATGGTACGGAGCCAAGTGTTCAGGCAGCTAAGAGTCCAGGCAGAGACGCATCACCGCGGGCTGGGCTGGGACTTGGCATTGGCCAAGGATTGATACTTGGTGGTTGGTTGAATCACGTGATGTAGAAGACCCAATGTGGGCGAGGGTGAAACCTTGTTGCACACTTCCCTCGCCATTGGCCCACGAAGTTCAAAGTTATCCTGAATGCTGTAGATCGATCTGGCTGATGAGATGTGATCTGATCAAATTGGCGGCTTCCGTCTAGTAGAAGAAGAGCAACCAAGCAACAGGAATAATGTCTCTGTAAGTGGACAGAAACCGAGGTATTTGTCTTCTAATATCTTTATAATCAACGCTGACAACGATAACTACACTAGCCGATCCAACCGCTTGGATCCCCTGGGTACCGTCAAGGCTGCCCTGGCACACGCGCTGAAGACACTTGGCGATCTAGGCGATCCACAACGACCGCATCCACCCCCCTGCAACTGCGCAAAAGCTCTCCAAGAGCTGCGAGAAAGCATCCTCGAAGCCATCCGCAACACCCAACAGATACTCAACTCCCCAGACAACACGTCCGCTAGCGAGGGGAGATTGCCCTGCCCCTACACCAACGTCAACACCTCCACTTCGCCACCATCCTCCTCCATCTCCCCATCATCTTCTCCAGCGACGCCGCCCCGGTCCACTAGCGCTAGTGCCGCGGCTCGACCCGAGTCCATACACAAGCGACGATCCAAAACGGCACCGGCACACCGGGAAAGCGACGTTGTGGCTAAGAGAAGAAGAAAGCATCAAGATGTTGGTAGTCGAGCCGAGGCTACGGTAGAGCATATTCTGAACAACGACACTCCGGCTAGTGATGCTGCGACCGCCCTTGGCCCGGGTAAAAATCATCAGCATGCCCCTGTCGGAACTGACAACCTTCATGTTCCCATCGACGAACCCCCGACTACCGATTCTTTGCCGCGTCAAAGCCATCCCTCCATAGCTACCAGCAGCGGGCTGTTATCTCAGTCGTCAGCTACAACAAGGTCGCCAACAATAGCTTGGGAAGCAGACGCGAACGGTGTTGCAGTTCTCAAACCATCTGCATCTCAACTCAAAGAATTTGATGTCCTCCTTGCCTATGCGTGCACATCAACCGATGCCCATGTCCGTAGCAAGGGCATTTTCAAGATATCCCTCCCCCCGGAACATAACACAAGCCGGCACGTTCCTGCCCAATACAAGCCATGCCGCATGTACGAAAGTCATGCATACCCCCAAGGTGATATCTTCCACATCAAAAACCGTAACGGGAGGAAGAAGTTCGGCCCCGAGAGGCCTGCTTGTGACGACTTCACCTCTAACTCACCGCCATCTTCTTCAGCGGAAGAAGAGGTCCGGAAGCAGGATGACCGCCTGCGCAACAACTCCCTGAAAGGAGTCTACTATGCAACGGACATGTTAGCGGCGGACGAGGCAGATCGTCGAGCTAGAGGGCTCCCAGCGGTGTCACCTATCCACCCGCTGGCCGGAGACCAGCTGAACAAGACAACCTGCGCGATTCAGGGAATACACAGTCCATACTGCTATGAATCTGATCACAAGGAAGGCGCTCCTTTTCTACTCCACACTGAAGACTTCCAGCTTTGCTCTGTTAATCTCCTTCACCAAGGTCGAAAAATCTGGATATGTATCTTTCCCGATGCATCAAATGAGTTGGAAGATAAGTTGCGGCAAGTTAAGCCTGGAGGAAAGAGCATGTTATCCTGTTCCCAGTTTATACGCCATGCATGCATCTACATCTCAACTGCTGAACTGGAGAAATGGGGTATCCCGTATACTATTGTTGATCAACGCGCGGGTGAGATTGTAGTGACGTTGCCATCTACCTACCATCAAGGGTTTTCTTTGGGCTACACTAAGGCAGAAGCAGTGAACTATGCCGACAAGAAATGGGACCCTGCAAACACTCGTAACCCCTGCAGCAGATCCTGCCCAAAGTTTGCCATCACCCATGACGATATATGCATCGAAAAAATCAGCGAAAACTCGGAAAGCGACCAGGCTCTCGGTGCCGAAGTGAAGCAGGCTGTCACTATACAGGAAAGCATTAGCCAGTGCCTTGCCTCCCAAAGCGATGGTTTCCAAAAACTATTTACCAGCTCGAATTCAAATCTTGGTGACATACAGAAAGTTCGTGTATTGGAACTTGTCTTGCAATGTGCATGGCCGGAGATGCCCACAAATTTTATCCCCGAGCGGAGTGCATCAAATATCACTAAACAACTCCAGAATATCCGGGCACAAGGCAACTTCAATGCAGCACAAGAGCGCGTAATGCTTGCTCTGCTGGCCAGGGCTCACCGCCAACTTGTCCAGGAGATAGAAGCGGAGAGGGTGGGAGTGAGAAGGGCAAAAAACCGCCGTCATCGAAATGAAAAGAAGACAATTCACCAGAAAAGTTCCTTTGCCGCAGGGGGGAGAACCAAAGCTGCCAAAACCGTAGCAAGCGAAACAATGATGGAGGGTTCCGACATGGCTCCCCGGGTGTTCCAAGAATGCCTCAAGGATGGGTGCAGGCTCCTAACCATTGCTGAACAACTTGAGTTTGGCATTTTGATCAGCTTCCCCGTAAGGGATGTTCAATCACAGGACTTTCATCTAAGTCTGACAAATGCTCCGTCATGTTTATTCTTGGAGCAGCCCATCACCTCCTCTAGGTGAGAATGCCAATATTTCTTTGAATGGAGGGTTTTCAACGTGTGCTAATAATGATATGGGAGAAGTTATGCCAAGATGACTGAACCAGAGGCATGTTTCTTTGTTGAGGCATTTCGGGAACTCCGGCAGGATCTCCTCAATCCCCAGATTCTGCAGCTGAAATTTTCCCATAGATTATTGGTGAGCGAGGATAAACCCGACTCTTTAGTGGCATTGGGAAGTGAATTTGGCGATCCAGAATTCGGGGAGATAGAGTCCTAGCTGATTAGATAGTGCATTCTTCGACGCCACTTATTCGGTATTGACCTCGCGATTAGGCTCGACTGTGCTAGCCCTGGGGATTGGCATGATGGGACAGAGCTTCATGGAACAGGATTCAGTGGCTTTGTGGATTGGTGGTCACTGTAAGACTCCAGCTGAAGTCATCAGGGGTTAGAATGAAAAGAGGAAGACGACCGCTCATGCGGAATCTTTTGATCCTATCTACCTAATCACTACTTGACCAAATTGTAATTTCAAACTTACACGAGTAGGCTGCAATAAAAAAGGGGGATCATTTAAGTCTTGGAAAGTCAATTTTAGCTCCTATTACAAGTCTCCTGTTCTACTTTTCCGGGTTTGATCACGACTATTAACGGTTTCTCCTCTTGGAGGAGCCATTCGAGCCTCGTTTGGTAGAAATATGGGCTACTGATAGCTCTCAAAGGCCGGGGAGAATACCCTTGCATTTCTGCTTCCAGTCAACATGATGAAACCCGTCGTTCGCTTGCTTCTTGGTGCCCCCTTTGTTCTTCCGCTCAAGCCAATCCATGTAGATACACCGGGTATCCTCGGTTATCAGTCCATTTATTGCTGCCTGAACAAGGATAGCAAAGGCCCTTCTACTTTCCCAATGAAGGCGAGACTCTTGCCACACGGCTTTGTAGCCGGCTTGGAATACGGTTTCCTTAACATTTCTGTTATAGTGCTTGAGGTTGTCGCATGCCTTTTTAGCCTCATCGAATGGGGGCTTGAATGGATCAAGCTTAAGGATGCTGAAGAGGGTTGGTTCTTGCTGTCGGCCTCTGCTGTCGGCGCCGGAATGGTCTGGTTGTGAGGTCGCGGCGTTGACCATGAAGTAGTTGGCCAAGTCCTGTGAGAGTAAACACAGCCCCACGACAGCCTCGCTCGGCTCCTGGACTAACGTGACGTGCGGCGGAGTATATGTGGAAGGGAACATCGCCTGCAATGCTGCCAAGAAAAGGGCAGCGCCAAGAATGATGGCGCTGGGAATTAAAGGCAATGTCGAGTTTTTGAGACGGACTTGCACGATTTGCATGATGGTGGGCTGATGAATGCAATCGCATACCGAGCTCGACTGAGGAGGATGAGTAGGGGAAGGGAACGCTGGCTCAATATGGTCAGAATGGGTGTGGTTTTGAACGCAAGGAGCCAAGTGTAGATTACTGAGACCGAATCCACAGCGTAAGATGGAGGTATGCACCTAAAGATTCTGCTGTCAGGACAAGGGCGGACAAGTGGTGTCTGGAAAGAGAGAGAGAGAGAGCGAGAGGACAGAGAATAAGTTGATGTAGACGATGGGAGGAACCCCAAGCCCCAATACATCAGAAATGGATAAGGAATTGGCGGTTTGCTCATCTGTCGACCTATTCCTGCTGCGCCTGAGTAGAGACGGATGATTGCAGCCACCCGTTTGCAGGCCACGTAGCCCTGTCACTCGCTAGCACGACTGTGTGTGACAAGCTATCACTACATGTAGGTAGATGTCTAGCCTAGATAGGTAGATCACGTAGACGCGTAGAAAAGGCCCAGCCTCTGACTTTTTTATTCCTCCACGACCAGGACCGCAGGTTGGGAATGACTGGAATGAAGGCTGGGAAAGCTAGAACCAAGCAGCAGAATTACGGATGATGTTGAACCCTGCAAAACTCCACCCACACCTTATAGGGCGAGGCACAAAGATGAGAGTTTTTACAACACGCGGCCAGTACTCTGTTAGGCTACCAGCATACATCTGCAGTCGGTGCACAAGGCTCTTCATGGGTTGATTATGAAAGCGCCAAACACGAATCGTTAGTAATTTTGCATCCTTCTTAGATCATTACAGACTTCAACTACCTTCCCCTTTTCTTTAGAATGACTGATGAGTTGTATCCTGCCTTCATAAAGTTTCGGCGGCTATAGTTAAGGCCATACGCTCACTTATATTATAACATATCTAGCAACTTTTACATATAGAAATATTCAATCTCTTACCAAGTATGCTATCTCTTTTCAGTCCAGTAATCGCGAGAGGAATTCAAGAATCCCACAATAATACCCGCTAGTTCCTTCTCAAAGACCAGCGCCTGGGCTGATGTGATGCTTTCGCTAGCGCCTGTCACTCTTCTCTCAATATCTTCGAGCTTTCTTGAGGACTCCAGATTCATTTCTCCGTCATCTGTGTGGAGTAGGTCGCTAGTTAGGAGGAGAGTATCTTTATGGCTCTTTATTGCCTCGTCTGCCAGGTAGGAACTCAACCAACCGTTCATTTCAGCCCGGCTTGGTCGTACGGGTAGTGGGTAGGTTTGTTTTGCCCTCGGAGAGTAGTATTGGAGGTAGTTGTAGGATGCATCGTTGGTCAAACTGAGTTGAATTATGATAGGGTCTTGTTCAAATCTCCCATCATGTTTCAAGGGGCCGCGGAACTGTGTAAGGCACTCATGAAGACGGCTCATAATGGCCTGCAACTTGTTGATACGCTCCACAATAAGCGTCTTTCGATGGCAACGCTGAGATAAATATGATAACCATCGAGCAAGACTTGTAGGCTCACGGTCTGCCGCAGGCCACGTGTATATAGCCTCGAGAAGGTCAGCCAGCTGCTGAGACTCGGCTTTTAAGCATCCCGATAAGATAGTATATCTAGACGAGGCATTGTAGATGGAGCCATACGAATGACGCCACTGGTCTTCTAGCTGAATCTCTAGCCTTCTACCGGTCTCGAAATGGGGAGTTATTAACGGCTTCGTAGTCTCGGTCTGGCCTGGTTGGACGAAGAATTGAACGCGAAAAAAGCAGTCGTCTCCCGAATCCCCATTGCCGTCGCACGGTGTCTCATTTTCCTGGAATCTAGTGTTGCCCGTGACAGCTGCTGAGCGAGAAAAAAGCGGTATAAAAAATGGAGCAACTTGGAATCCATCGCCTCTCTCTTCTTCCTGTTGAGGAGGGGGTAGAGGTCTATCGAGTACTCCGGATTTGAACGAGAGCTGGTCGATCTGATACATGTATTTCTGAAGTTCCATAGAGGCCTGACTAATATGTTGCTGTTGAGCTTGAGATCTTGATGCCTGCCCAAAGACTTGATACAATATAGTCAGTGCCGTGCTGATTTGACGAAACCCAGGTAGATTGAGAATAGTATTCATGACATAACCGCACAGCCAGATGAATAGTAATAGCCCCAGCAACTTATGCCACGATATCAGTACCTTTATGAACCTGTAGACACGGACGGCGATGCCATAGAGACTGGAAAGGACTTGGTAGAGAGGGTTTTGGAGGTTCCAGAGGATGCCAGAGACCGAAGGCGCATTCGCCTGTTCAACCCCAGTCATTTTACCGTAAAGGTAATAGAACCTTGAGTGCCAAGCCCTTTTTATTGTTTGTAGACGGCCATCACCAGCGTCCTCAACCAGCGGTTGCGTTTTGGTATGTACTGATGGTGTGGAGTTTTGCTGCCCACTTGAACCTGACCACCGCTCCGCCTCGCGCAGCGCCCCGCCATCATGACGAACTTGCACATTCTGCTCTCTTTTCGGTCGTAGCGTTTGTTGAGATGAGGTTATCGAAAGCTGGGGGGATACAATTGTTGGTGGTAAATACGCGGAGGAGGGATCAGTGGGCTGAGGGTTTAGAACTGAAATAACGGTTAGCTTCACCGTTCACTTCTGTGGACAAGGAAAGTCGGTCTAACGTACGCAGTCTATAAAAAGGGGAATGGGACTCGTTCGTTGACTTCTGGTCGGCTCTCCTTTCGGCTTTGGTCTGGGCTGCTTGTAGTCCGAAACTGCCGTTCTCCTCGTCTGGCAAGCTAGATGGAATATGGCGGTGCGGGGCTTCGACAGCGACTATTCTAGTCGCACTCTTCCTGGACGTACTTCGAGCAGGGTCTAACGTAGACTGTCGGTTGGAAGGAGGACACGTGCTACTGGCCTGGCTGGTCGGTGCCTTCGCGGAGGGCACATTGCTGGTTCTTGTTGCGGCTATGTCCTCAGTATACTTGCTTCCACGTTCGATGGGTGTGAAGATCCTGGCTGGCTCTTGTAGAGGCATAGACATGCTGTTCTTCTCTTGCTGCTTTCTCTTGGCGACCGCGGCTCGAGCCATCAAGGCTGCAGAACGCTCCTCGCCTTCTGGCATCGCGGCGGGTAGTTGTTGTGACAGACCTGGACTAGAAGGAGGGTAAAGGATAGAGAACAAGGGATAGAGGGAGGAGACCGTGCGGACGCAGACAGTAGTCTTAAAGGGACAAACAAAGCATGAATCCAAAGGTCCGCGCCACCACCCGCAAGCCACGAATAGGACGCCGGTGTCGGACCTCCACCTCTATTCAGTACGCTCTTTGTTCATACAAGCGCCGAGGGAGAAAGTCACGACCCCCTGCATCCTATTTCCATTGATGCCTCCCTTGTAGGCCGGGAAAGGCATCCAATCTGCGTTTGCACATGTTTGTGCCCGTTATAGTAGCGGATGTGGAGCGATACAAGTACCACATACCCACTTGCACGTTGCATCAGGGCGGCTGCCATTGATAACTGATGCTACCATGATACCTACCTTAGGTGCATACTATATATAGCACCTTGCGCTCGGTGAGGTGGATAGGTAGTACATAAATGCCCCGACCCACTATTTAGCTGTGTTTCCCCCAGTGAGTTTCTTGTGAGTTTCTTCCCTAGTCACCATCACAATGCTCCCTAGTGCCTATACTGTCCTCTTGAATTTGGCGAAGCCGCTCCTAGCTGGCGGGCTGCTTCGCCTTAGCTTGGTAACCCTTGCTGGTGCCTGGATCGAGCTCGACTATATTGATGTCTTCCATCACCTGGCTCAGACAGAAGTCTTATTTGCCTTACTGCCTCATATTGTGCTCTCTGGAGACCAATCAACCTTCTATATAAACCAGATTGAAGCCCATCATCCCCGCCTGTTGTCAATAATTCACAAAGCAGAGGTCCCTATCTTTAACCCGACCCCCCCATCAGCCAATAATTCGGCCAACTCGCTGGTCCCGGACAAAGAATTCCTTGAGGATCTAACTTCCAGCTTCCAGATTTTTGATATGATTTCCTCCAACTTCTTATGGGCTTTATCTGAACTCTCATATAAGCTTCACCCTAATACGACCGAGCTTGGGGGGGATTTTTTGAATATAGGTTTTCTCCTGAGTGAGCCAAACAGCCCTAATCAGTGGACTTATGAAGATTTTGTTGATATTGGTGGCGACTCCGATGTTTTCCCCAAGGCCCGCCGCCTTTTTTTGGGTGTGGAATCCCTATATAAAGGTTTATATCACAAGATATGCCCACCAATCCACAGCCGACTCGCATTCGTTCACTACTTGCAAGAGGAACAGTACAAGCAACCTCATGTGAATGATTCAGATGCGTCTCGCCTCTTATGCCTCAAGAAGCAGGCTGGGGACGCCCAGCCCAAGGAAACATGGACCCCGCCTTTTGACTGTCATAAAAGAGCATTCAGGTATAGTGAAGGGAAACAGTATAAAGCCTTGGTCTTGGAAGGCGATGGTGAGAAAGAGTATAACAAGGGGAAGCCCCGACCGACGTCCTGCGGTCCTAGCTTGTGGCCAAGTTCTCGTTTCCTTTCAGCTCAGCGGCATAATATGACAGCCGGGAATCTCACTGGAGCTGTCCTCGGAGCCACCATGGAGCCCATAGACGCCGAGGGAGAGGATGAAGCTGGGGCTGATTTGAAACCATCAGCAGACTGGACCACCACATATCCTTTTGAGTACTTCCCGATGCAAGGTCCTCTCTTCGACTTCAATAAGTACTATTTGCCTCATCTCCGTCACATTGAGAAACTACCGCCCATTATACAGCACCGAATTCGTCTTCTTGAGCGCCATGTACCCAGGTTTCAGCACATCATTAATGATATTAGGCCAACCATTCTTGCTAGTGGTGACAAGAGAGACACGGTCTTACTTCAGGAGGTAGATTGTATAATGCTGCAGTTCCACCGCATTCTCCGTTTCTTGACCGAAATTGCGATACCACAACTGGAGAGCATGATTACACGGGCAAGAGATGGGTTGCGGCTCAAAATGTTTATCCAGACCAGGCAGAAGGATCTACTGGAGAGCCTCGGTCCTCTTATGGAAGCATCTCCGGAAGCTTGGATAACGACGCCGTCAGAATTGGCTCGACGATACCAGCAGCGGCCCTCGTTGCCGCACGGGGATAAAAAAAGTCATCCTGTTTCTTTTTTCCGTCGCCTTTGGGACGCTGCTTTCTATCCATGGGGCTTACGCGTCTATCCCGATCTATTTGATATCGCAGCTGATCTCAAAGAACATTACACCCTAGTTACTTGGTTGGAACTGGAGCTGCGGAAGCTGCTGGTTGTAAAACAAAAGTACAATGAAGCCGATTTCGATGCCCGTCCACAGGACTGGCCCTTTCACTCGCGCTGGACAATGGAGTCCGATAAGGGGGAAATGGACGGCACCGTTGATGATAAGGCGAACTCTGGTTATGACTTCTCTCCTCTATTCAAGGGCGGCAAATGCGACTGGATTATTACAGGGGATAACAGACCAGAGTGGCCAAGGCCCGGTCTAGGTGTTTGGAGATACTTAGAACGTATCATTTCTAAGCTGGGAGCCGGATGGCTGCTGTGATTCACTTGTTATCTCAGATTTTGATTGTGTTGAGTGGTTGGGCTTTGGCATTGCTGTTGAACTTAATTCTCTTTCCTCTCACGTATCTCATATTCATATACCGCGTTAAATGCCCTGTACTATAGAGCAAACATTCTGAAGTTTCCAGATATCGTAGAATCGAAGGGTCACTTGCCCTTTTCGATTAAATCCCAGGACCATATTAAGGTGTCCTTCCGACGATGACACGGGGTAGTTCTTCAGCCGTGCTAGCAGCCTTCTGCTCCGTTTAGTAATTCGTCGGAAGGGTTCTTCATTATAAGCGGGAGAGACCAGGGTATTGTGTGCAAGACGGACCAGTGTAGGAACTAGAGCCAAAGAACTTTACAGAGACCAGGGCAATGCCGGAGGAGTGCGGAAGCATTGGCCGACAAACAACGGAAGAAAATCCAGGTTTCGCAGTGAGTCTGTCTTCCACATATAGCTGCGTTCTGGCCAATCAGAACTGCCATGCTACACACAAATTTGGGGATCCACCCAGATTTGTGTGTAGCATGGCAGTTCTGATTGGTCCGGTCCCGATTGAGACTCCACCTGCTTTGATGAGATCGCGACCAGCAACAGATCTCTATAAATGCATCAATCAGTGGCCACCACAGCAACTATTTCTATTCCATGTCTTTAATAAGTCATGAATTGGTACGTTATGGGCCGAGGACTGGTTCCCCTCTCTAACTTCTCCAAGAAAAAGAAAGCTGGCCTGCCGGATCGTCCTACCTTGAACTGGGCGATGAGGCAATGGGTAGTAGAACGAAGACGACCCAAGAGAGCATAATTTGGAGCTACCCAGTTTTCTCTTCTATATCAAGATCCAGATAGCTCCCCAGCTTCGGTGCTCGGATTAATTGAGAACCAGTCTCGCCGGCCCCTGAAGGGAGAGGTGTAGCTTTGGCTGAAACTTGGATGGCCTTGACAAAAACATCCATGTTACAACAGCAAGGCTTCAAATAACGTCCTGAATGACATTGCGTATGGTTATACTGGCAAGCGACGTTCAGAGCAGCTAAGTTCCTCCCTTGGCAGGATGACACCTTCTAAGCGCGTTGACCTAATATGAAAACAAGCCCAAACTTCCTCTTCTGTCTCTTGCTTCATGGAAAACAATCTACAGCACACATTATCAAAAATATCCAAGGTTTCTTATCAGGTTTCTTATCTTATTTTCCTAAGATAATTCTAACATGATCATTTTTTGTTGGTAGCTGAGTCGAGCTTTCCGCGTTCTGCCAAATCCTACTTAGTATTTGATCCTTGCCTCAAGCTCTCCTTTACGGCACCACAAGTTCCAGTATAGGAAGAAGTCTATTAGTGTTTACTCTATCCGCGATGAATTTAATTTAGTCGTCCGGACTTTGATGTTGATCAGTTCGAGCTGTCACCTGAAGCACAAGCCAGGCACAAGCCAGGCAAGAGCCACTTGAAGAAATACTTCTACGTCGTGCCAAAGGCTGTGTCTGGAATCCTTAGTCCCGCCGGCATTGCGCCGACCTGTGCACCGCTTCCTTCGGGGGATTCCTGATCTGTAGTTGTTATAGATTGCGACCTGGCGGCGGAACGTGATGGTATAGCTTGAATGGTTAATAGTATCGGCTTTGATAGCTTGACCTTCCATAATGCTGATTGGAGGGCTAAAAGATTTTTGTGCGTGATACCGCTACTGGAGAAAATAACCCCATGTGACTGTAGTATAATTGTAGCCTATTCTTATCTACGGGTGTTTCCTAACTATAGCGAGCTCTCTCGGCAAGATTTAGGGAATAATTCACCTTACTGGTTCATGGGAAAGAGAGCCTTGGACCCTAACATGGTATCAACTTTTGTGAGGAGGGTATTCGCAGTAATGTTTTCAAGCATTATGTGCTGATAAGACTGAGATCTCTATAATCTACATTGTCCATCGTTCCATGTCCAGTGGAGACAGCGATAGAGGTGCCGCGGATGATGAGCAGAAAGGTAAAGTAGCCGACTGATGAGGGTTTGAAGACTACTTACCTAGCACCTACCTCCAAACCAGAAATCGAAAGAAAAGTAGCTACTGAATTTCCGTTTATTTGGATGATAACTAGCCTTATAGCACCCTCGGCCATATTCTGGTGGGTGGGGGAAGCAAAGGGAGGTGAAAAAACGCCTCGCTAAAAGCTAAATCCCACACACCCACGCTTTCGACTCCTAAGCAGCTTTGACTCAAGTAAAGATGAGGGTAAGAAACAGGCAAGAATAACGGCGGAGAGACAGAGGCAAAAGGGGAAAGTCCTGGTCTATTCTGGACAGGGATCATGCTGCTTGACAGAAAACCCATAACACTCGTTATAGTCCTCCTAAGAGCATGTGTCTGAACCCAGATCCTTCCCAAGGGGCTCTAGTTAAGCCAAGATAGGGGCCGAAGCCTCTCTAAAGTTGCCCTACAAAGAACAATCTAAATGTATATTATGATGCATACGCCATAAGTAGCGCCTGTGATCCTACACCGGGTTGCTTGCGGGTTCATTAAAAGAGAAGCAATGTATCTGCAACTAGAGCCCGTTGTCCTAGAGCGGACTAGAAGCGGAGCGTAGAAAACTTATTCTCTTCTCCGATTATCCTCTGGGTGCCTTTGATACTGGATCCTCATGTTTTGAAAGCTAAGTACAAGCCCTTTTTTTTTTTACCACTGCATCCTACCTTTACTAATTCATCATTTCTGTGCCCGCCAACTGCCGTGCTCCGTGCATCCGAGCAGCATCTATCCTGAAGACAACACCAACTCAGTCTGCCCTCGACCCGCCGGATCCGCCGATCTTCGATCAATACTGAGATTGGGCTTCTTCCTTTGTTTGCACGTTTTATGACTCGTTGGCTAACCATGCTAGTGTTCTATTTCTGCTCATGTACGCGAACTCAAACCGACAACGAAAATCCGAGGCACCACTCGACAGAAGAACAAGAGCTCCCTCCCTGATTCCACGACTCCACAACTGATTGGTTGGCTAATCAGACCATAATTCATTCACCGGCACCAGCCGAGATCAACCTCGCAGATTTACATAGGCAAGATAGGGTGTTACCGAGAGAAAGGAAGTATAGGTAGGTAAGGATGATGATTGGCTCGTTCTACCTCTTCACTACCTGCCCACGGCTGGCTCGTTTTATTAGACCACGGCTGGCTCGTTTTATTAGACCACGGCTGCCATTTCCTGTCCACCACCTAACCAAGTGGTGGAATCGAAACATGGCGCGCCACGACAACAAAACAGACCATTTACTCCCCCCCTCTCAATATTCGGTTTGCTAGATAGAGCATCCTCTACTAGGGCAAATATTGATCAGAGCGTGTACCGCTAAGAACTACCCCGTCCGCGGTAATCTCGCCGCCACTATTGACCAAAACCTCGCGACCTGTTCTATCGCCCATGACCAGCTTTAGCCATTCACGTAGCGGCACGCAGTGCAACGATCTTCGTCGTGCAGATATTCCCTCGGAATTTCAAAACCCAACTTCGACGAATATGACCGAACCGTAGGGCTTAGCTTGCGTAAATTTCACGCCCTCTATCGAGGCTAATGAATTACTTGCTCTCTTTATTCTGGCAGTTGACGTCTAACGATTTGCTGGCTGATGTCAGTCCTTCTGAAAGATCTCGCAACTTGCTGGTAGCCTTGTTGCTTTTGTCTGGCCACTGTAGTCAGTGACTGAGGGTCTATCTCCTTGTTGTAAGGTGCCTTGCGACCCCAGCCTGCCCAAATCTTATTACTGATTGAGAGATAGACAGAAAGAGGCTTTCGAGTTCATGTATGAAACCTAATGCTTCTTATCACACACTCTAGGTTGGCCGAGAGTGTTATTACTTTCTTTGTCTGGAAGTAATCTGGGTGCCACTGCCAGTAAAACCTTTCGACAAGCACAGGCCCTGACCTAGGTGCCGCCTCCTATCCCCACTACCAGCACCTCGGTCCGCCAGATGTTACAAGCCTCTTCTTAGAAGCGAGGTTTGTAGTCGTCTCGCAAACGCTGACACAAATACTCTCACCGAATCGATGATACAAATCTGATCTACCCCCCTACGGCACATACATACTACTTGAAACCTAAGTGGCCTAACCACGCGGTACCTGGCCCCGCGAAACTTTGGGCTACTGTAGACCCTGATCTTCGTCAGGCTTGGAACATCCAGGGTAATCGTGTTCTACTGGCATATACACCGAGTGTTCATCACCAACACTTCACCAAGCACCTTCAACTAGAGTCGCGGCACCAAATGCATCTAGCATGATTAACCCCCCTTTACGTATCATCGTATACGTATACATTAGGATGTATATAGTGTGAGAGAGGTCCTTGAATCGCCAACATTACCTATAAAGCAGACCAATAGTCACACGGAGGGCATCAAATCGATAACACCCTCAGAAATATTCGATTGGTCTTCAAATCTCACTAGCAGAGATTGACTAGTACGATCCTTACTCCGTGCTTGGATGAAGAGGCGAACCGAGAGGTTGAGCAGGCCCATACTGCACTCGTTTTGGCGGAAACTTCAGATTTGACCAATTCCCTCACCTACGACTCTGTGTATCGGTGCTCTCTGAGGTTATGGTTCTGGCCTCGTCTGCTAGGCTTTGTGTAAGGTTGTCGTGGTACACTTCCCTCAAAAATAGAGTGGCTTTTGACCTACCAACAGCTTCTACTTCTCAGGGTTCGTGGTCAGCGCGAGAAAACGAAGCTTTTTCGTTGGATCCAACCACTACCCCGAAAACCCTCCCCATAAGGTATCTGTTGACCAGAGTTTTGACTACCTGCACCATCGTGAAAGACAAGCCTATTCCTTGTGATGGCAAATAGCATAGGCCCACAACAACTTCAAGCTCGCCACGGTCTTCGAGCTTAGTCACGACGGATTCGACGTGGTGAAGAGTTGCAGTATACCTGTCATCAATACGGGTATCTCCGCCCAGCAGAGCCCGTTTGTCGGCCAATCCTTTCGCCAACTTGAACACAATGTCGAAGATGGGAATGGACTTGCAGCGAAGTCTGATAACTAGTAGGCTTTGATCCTTTAAAGCTGAAAGAGGGCAAGCGACGGGGGCGGTTGTTGCGGTTACCTGGAGATCGAGGGCCGGAGCTAATATCATTGGTGTCTAATAAAGGAATACGAAGATTATAAGGAAGATACTGTCTCTCTCTAACGGTGTTGGCTCTGCTGACTCGTGATTGAACGGGAGGTTGTGAACTTCCTCTATACTTAAGCTCTCGTTAGTATGAAGTGATTGAAGTTCTTGGAGTACAGCAAGGCTCTAGTGCCAGCATTTCGAAGCGTCCGTTGGCTTGTCACGGCACAGGATCTTCAAGATAATATTGTAACAATGGTGTAAATCACGTTGAATTGAAGTTCTAAGCTGCCGAAGATCGCGACTGTCCTTAGTTAAGTCCATGACAGCGCATAATGGATAGCATTGACCTACATTTTCCATAGAAGAAAATCCTACCGCCTCTCACGAGATCCTTACCAATGTGCGAGATGGATCGCGCCCAGGGCCATCTACTTGGACGGTGGTGGCACATTCAAACAAATATAATTGACGTGTGCCAATGTTCATGGCCTGCTACCCAAGTTAACCAGAGCCACTGAGTCGTAGATCTGTTGACGCAAGCTACAGCTCATGTTCATCGCCCCCTTTGATCTATCCAATTTCTCTTTTCTCTGGAGCCCTGAGCAAATATCCACCGCGAGTAACCATTCGTCATAGGCAGAGATACCAAGGTCTGCGATCATCCATGAGCCATTTAGTGACCGCGTAAGACGGTCCAACCAAGCTCTCACATGCTCATGGTTGGCTGCAATAACGGGCCCAGGTTGTTGTCATAAACTCTGACAACGATATTCACCAGGGAGCCAATTACCTTCACCTGCGCATCAATTTGTGACAAAGCCTCGGTAGCTAAATTTGGGTCGTCCTCTATTAACTGAGTCAGGCCACTCGCTTCCTGGTTATGCAGCAAGACTTCGAGCGTCTTCAAGCAATTACATTCTTGCTGAAGAAGACTCAGACTGTGGAGGCTTTCTTCCGTCAGCTTACATTGCTGAGCACGATCTTGCGCTTTCTCCACGTCAGGAAATTTCATACACAAGTGCTTAAGGGCAACGGAGTTCAAAGGCCCAATGCATTTAAGGAATGAATGCAGCAGGTCGGGTTACTTCTTCGTTGTGTCCACGAGATTGAAGAGGTTGGAGCCATAGAGCACCGTGCTGGCCTCCTTGTGCATTTGCCGGCTGGTTTGCAAGGGCGCGAGCCACTTTCGCGGCTTCTCTGGCGCAAATGCCTCTACTCGTGATCCTTTTCCCTAGAAAAGATAGACAGGGTGCGTCGCAATGAGTACGCTCTCAAGGATTCGATTGCGAACCTTCGCTGGCAAGGAAAAAAAGCCTTTCGGACCGTGGGTCCCGGAGGATTTAAGACATCTATGGTGTCTTCCCCTTCGGTTCGGATATCAAACAACGTGTTTTTCTTCCCTCTATTGCAATAACAACTGGTCTTGGGGGCGATTGGGAAGAATGCGTCGTTCGTTCACCGAGAGAGCAGGTGCCAGTGGACCGCTTGGACAGAGCCTCGCGGTTCTTCTTTGGTGCCTAGAGTCAAGGATATTTAACACATGAGCTCTAAAAGACTTCAAAGGCGGCGTCGACGGGATGAAACACGCGCGGGCTGGTCGAGGGATGGCGAGATGTGAAGTCGTGCGGGGTCAGGGAGGGGAAGAATTTGATGGACGCGCAAAAACGCGTTGGTCGTCCGTGCATACTACGCGATTCTGAATGGTTGGCAACTATTGAACTGTACGGACTTTGCTATGTTGGCTGCAGCCGGAAGTCCAGCTGCTCGGGCATGGTGTGCCTGTTGGTGGTGACATATTGGTTTCAGAATAAGGGTGAGAAGGCCGAAACAATATCACCAACTATTCCCTCTCGCCTCTACTTGCAGCAAGAACCTTGAACCGGTATTTCTATTCAATTAACACAGGCAACTAGTATACCAATGAAACCGTAGTAGAAGTGGAATCATTCTATTCTTCCACGCGAGATGGGGATCGCGACATTTTGAAAATAAAACCTCAACATGTCCCAGAGGCCCCATTTTCCGCCTGGTCCTTCCAATGGTCGCGAAAGATGTGAGCTGTCATTCTATTAAGGTTGCACCCCTCACTTGTATTTGTGATGTAGAAATCTTATGAAAACTTCAGCCACGCTCGTAGGCATTTCCTCAGCTGCCTTTCTTGAGATATCAAACACAGTTGCCGGCCGATGGACCATAATTTACATTAAAACATCTTTATATGCTTTTAAAGCCCGGCCTGGAGGCTCTCTATGATCGTCAGAGAGCATTGAAAGTTGAAGAACCGTTCATTTGGAGCAAGTTGCCCTCCTCGTCAGGTATGACGGCTTTAGGTGTGGGCAACGGGACTAGTTGATGGGCGCGTAATTGCATATTCCTTACCACAACTATTTTAGCTGGATTGTTTGCAACAACGCTGAATTGGGCAGCTATGCCCAGCTTCGCTTAGCCAAGCCAATAATGAAAAGAAATGTCCATGTGGAGACATGAACTGTAGAATGCTGACTGTTCAAACTGGACTCTGCAGGTTCTTGAATCACTTTGTCGCCAACCTGTCGCTCTATTTTTTCCGTCTTTGCTGTTGATCATGCCTAGCTACCTTAGAATTGATGGAATACCGTATCTGACCGAAACACGGAGCTGATTGGCCCGTATTTAGCGTTGAGGCATTTTGGTCGCTATGATTCGGTTGAATACGAATCACGCCACAGGTGAGACACGTTAGGCAGCAATGAGCTACTAGGCCGATTTTTATGGTTGCAATGTTCTAGTAGGCCAGTAGGTTGGTCAGCAGTTAAATCCGATCGCTGAACGCTGTATCTGCGATATCGCCGTCTAGGTTGTCGGACGAATTAGGTGGCGGCTTGGGTGCTAGTGTAAGTGTTATGGCGGCCTGGAGAGTTTACCACGGTCTGCCTGGATGGGTATCAAGACATGGAGGAGAGCCAGGACAGGAAGGAAGAGGGAACCTGTGGAAGATGACTATACAATATCCCGGATATATGTGCTGATTTATTGGAGGACTTCCTCGGTGGATATAACCGGTACATAAGTGGGATAAGGAGACCAGCTAAGCTAATAGTTTTAGTCTATCTTAAATAAGGTTCAGCCTAGTAGGGATATATTTATTTATATATTTAAATATATATTAAAATTAATCTAAATTTCCAAGGATAAAACTTAAGAAAAATATAAATAATATAATCCTTATGATTTATTTTTTAATATTCTCTAAGTATTTCAGTTATTACTATATCAGATATAATAGAGAGAATAGCTAAGTCTGTCTTTATTAGTAATAAATATTATTTATTCTATATATAATACAGGCACTTTGCCCAGAAGACCCATATTGCATATTACGCATTACTCAATGCATTAATACTACCTTCCAGTATTTTTGATGCCCAACAGCTTCCCCGCTTCATCTTACAATTTGCCTTGTGATGAGCCTGACAGACTGGCATCGATCAAGCCGCAATGGACTCGATACCATCAGAAATATTGGTTCAGATATTCACATATCTGCGACCCTGTTCTCTGTATCAATGGCAGGAGCTGAGTTTGTCGAACCGAAAGTGGCCCCCGGCAAAGGATCTCGCGGCACTCTCAGCCGTGTGCCACAGATTCCACAAACTAGTTGAACCGTTGCTATTCGCACATGTCGCAGTTGGTTCCGGAAATCCCGAAGATGACAGGCTCGTGGAGTTGTTTCTGCGAAGCCTACACCGAGAGCCTTCGCCACGTCTGGCGGTGCGAAATCTCTTCGTGGACGCGTGGGATGTGCAGTTAGATATTGCCGGTGTCGTGGCCAAGCGTCTCGCCACTGGCACTGATGATCTCGGCCGGCGACAGGTGAGATGGCTGAAGACTTGGCTCTCGATGCCGAAGAAGGAGGTGTTCGAGCCCATCCCTTGCGTCAGCCTCTTCCTTACTCCCCGAGTCAGACTCCTAGATCTGGGTGCAGCTTTTTGGCCTGACTGGATCGCCATGTACATCAGCGGCAATCGTTATCTGGAAGAAAAGGCTTTGGGAGCTAATATGTACTTTGGCCCAACCGGAATATGTCCTTATGAGCCGCTTGTCGCAGAGGAACATGATGGTGATCATGATGATTCTACCAGCCAGCAGCACACAGAAAGGGTGCTTTCTACCCCGCTCGCCGACAGTCCACTCCCAGAGCTCAAGGAGGTGCGGTGTAGATATGTGTTACCCAATAGCCTTCAATCCGCCCGTCGCATCGAACCTCTTTTCCTTCACCCAGGGCTTCAAACTCTGCGTCTGTTCGCCTTCTCCTGGGACGGCGGTATGAAATGGATTCATCCCACAAGCAACCTTCAAGTCATCCAGCTGAACAGCTGTTTTGTGGATTCTGATGGCCTGGAAAACATCCTCCGCCGTTGCAAACTTCTGCGCCACCTCTCTATTCAGTTTCCTGACTGCGATAGAATAACCGACGGTGGTGAAGACTTTGCTAATTTCGTGACAATGGGAGACGTTTTCAGGACGTACGGACACCACCTCGAGACCTTTGAGCTGGACGCAAAGGCGTACGGTGAGGTTTTCAACCCCACTCGGCCCTTTGGACCTGTGAAAGAGATGAACTTCCTCCGCAACTTCAAGATTTGCGTGGTAGACTTCCAGAATATTGCATCAGGTGGATTTGACGAGGAGGAGGAGAGGCACAGGTGGACGGTGCCCTTGAGGGGCGTTTTACCCCAGGGACTAGAGACATTTTACGTGGTCCGCTCTCCGGGATTTATTCCGCTGAAGGACGTTGAGATCTTAAGAGCTCTTCGCGATGTCTTAGAAGATCAGACCCTAACTTCATTGCGTCGGGTCGAACTGGAACTTTCCGGTGAAGAAACATTTGATGAAGACGACTTGCTTATCTCAGGATGGAAAGTGTCAGAAGGAAGGCATTTGGTTTGCAAAGATCCTTATAAGGACAGGGCTCGATATCCCGCCATTGATGAAGACGAGGAGCCGGACGAAAGACAGACTATCGTCTTTCAACGCGAAGATGGATGGCAATCGGCCTGATATAGCTCATCACTACTATTCGGAATTTTCTACTTGTTTTAAACGCCACGGACATTTGCAAACACCATGTGCACTCACTTTATCCGGTCGTTTTAGGTACTTGGATTGTCAATTGATAATTATGGAAAGGCAGCTACAAAGATGGTGTAGTTGGTCATCGGTGGCTATCGTGGAAGGCAAAGAGGGAAACGGGCGTGTCAATTTAGTTTTCTGTCATCTCTGTTACCAATAAAACACGAAAATATCGATGTTTTGGAATGCAATATAAGCACATGCCGCAAATCTCAGCTTCTTCCCATGAATCTTTGCTCCTTGCTCCCTGTTAGTCGCTTTCTTTCTAGGTAGTCCGTACGTTGTTAGATCACGAGCTGAGCATCGCCTGGAAGGGCATCAAGTAGTGGCACAAGATGAGGAACGGCCTGGCAGAGCCTTACAAGAAGAACCCAGACTACGAGGCAAGTAATATACTCATTCCGGGAGATCAAAGAATACAGGAGCAGCCACAAAAGAAACTGCCAACGCCGGGGAGCAAAATTCCCATCTGGAAGATCCCTTCAGTGATTTGAAAGAACAAAGTCGTCTGTAGACACTCTGAAAATGAGGAGCCCAAGGAGACTCTGCTACTCTCCAAGGCTAAGCAATGTGTTGGGGTTTATATATTTGCGAAGCATTGAATTTTGCTTTTTGTATTAGTATAGTCAAGGTTTGGACTAAGTCGGCATGACGAGATTCTAGGTGCTATTATGCGTGTAATAAATATTTCTCTATTTTCTTTTTCCCATAAACAAGGGCTATCTCAAGATCAGGCCACACGTGACTGATACAAAATGTGATACAAAATGTAATGATAAACAATAAGGAGAATCAAAATCTGGCGGCAAAGTATCGGCTGTGAATCGAGACTTTCCTAGAGGTCCTGTGAATCATCAGTATCACCGACATTATGAGTGCGCTCCTTTCAGGGCTTGGCTACGGCTACCGGAGTTTTCAAAACAATCACACCACCAAAGCTTCGGGTCTCAACGATCATCAAGATGAAGATTGCTGAGCTTGCCGCCATTCCGGTCAATTTGACCGGTGATTTCCGTGCCGCGGAATCACATCTCCTGGATCTTGACAAGCACCTGACTCGTCGAACGTACTTCGACGGCTACAGGCTCAGCGAGATTGACGAGAAGATATGGGTTGTCCTTGCTAGCAACCGAGCCACTGTGCCCTTTATCCACAAGGAGAAGTTGGCAAACCTCACGCGGTGGTTTCTCTATGTCGAGCAACCTCATCCCGAGATCCATCAGGATGTCAAAGAGGCTCAGGCTGCTGTAGCCGTAAAGCTCGTGGCCGCAAGTAAAGCGGGTGGCAGCTACAGCCTCCAACTCCAAAATGTCGACCAGGGAGTGGTCACCAGATTCCTGCCCAAACCGTCAGGATATCTTCAAATCAGACACGCGAAGGCAGTACGTAACCTTTTCTACTTCAGCAGTTTGTTATTCGCTCGCACTGGCCCTATAGGCTTTACTAAGTTATTACTTTGCTCATCAAGCATATTCTTGCAGCTTCAGATTGCGACAGGATGATACCAATCCGACGAAGGAGAAAGAGGAGTATCAGGATGCTATCATTGAAGATCTAGCCTGGATGGGCATTCACGCTGATAAGCTGACCTATACATCCGACTACTTCCAGTATTTGTTTGATAAATGCGTTCAACTGATCGAGGATGGAAATGCATATGCAGACGACACGGATCAGGAGACCATGAGAGCGGAGTGTATGGATGGCATAGCTTCTAAGCGAAGAGACAGGTCAGTCGAAGAGAATCTTCGCATTCTAGAGGAGATGGAGGTCGCCTCGCCCGAGGGTCGGCAGAATTGCATCAGGGCCAAAGTATCTGTGGATAACCCCACCAAGGCCATCAGAGATCCTGTCATCTACCGTATGTCCACTGACATTAACAAAAGACAACAAGAATAAATGAATGGAAGAAATAGGTACTGACTCAAGCCAATAGGAGTTAACACCGCAAAAAAACATCATCGAACCGGCACAGATTGGAAAATATATCCAATGTATGACCTTGCATGCCCTATAATCGACAACCTAGAGGGCATAACTCACGCGTTGAGATCCACCGAGTACACAGATCGCAATGTTCTTTACCAGTGGTTCCTGGAGAAACTCAATCTTCGCATAGTGTATATGCATGATTTCTCCAGGCTTTCGTTTGTCAGGACCTCCTTGTCCAAGAGAAAACTCGCGAAGCTGGTAGATACCGGAACAGTGACTGGGTGGAACGATCCTCGTATGCCCACCGTGCGTGGTATTCGAAGACGCGGTATGACTGTCTCTGCCCTCAATGACTTCATCATCAAGCAAGGGCCCAGCCAAAACATCACAGCTATGGAGTGGTGCGCAATCTTGGCGGCGAATAAAGCGGTCATCGACCCTATCGCGCCCCGCTATACAGCAGTCTCCAGAAAAGACTTGGTTAAGGTTTCCGCAATCGAGACAGAAGGTCCCATGGAGCCCTTCATAGCCGATCGACTCCTACACCCCAAGAACAAGGATGTTGGAACCAGGAAGGTTGTGTTTGATTCAGAAATCCTTATGGATCAGGTAGATATGAAACTTATGCGAACCGGAGAGGAGATTACTCTAGTGGGCTAGGGCAATTCCTTCGTGAAGGATATATTGAGTACAGAAAACCATAAGATTGTGAATATGACTCTCGAACTCAATCTAAGCGGCGATTCCAAGAAGACGGACAAGAAAGTCACTTGGCTGGCAAGCAAAGGGCAGAAATTCATTCCAGCTGAGGCCTGGCAGTTCTACGACATAATCATCAAGGACAAGCTTGAGAAGGAAGATAATTTCGAAGATTTCCTTGCCCCAGTCATGGCAACGAAGGAAGACCTGTGGTGCGCCGAAAATATCAGTAACGTAAAGAAGGATGCCATTATCCAGCTTGAAAGGGGGACATTCTATCGTGTTGATAAAGGCCTTGCTGACTGGGTAGATGGTGAGGAAGGGCCAAAAGGCAAGAGACTAGAAAGTCAAATTAGGGAGTTGTTCGGCTGTCAGAAGTTACGCCTGGGCCGATTTTTACTTTGCGTCTTAGGTGCTCCTCTAGCTCCGAGAAAGAAACCATCGCTCATTTAGCCCTTAGATAGCTATATTAAAGATACTGGCCTGCTAGTCATTTTAAGACACCAACATACAGCCTCCTTTTCAAGTGGTCGTCGAGTTTAAGTTGGACTCCACCTGACTAGGGAGGCTTGTATCTTGGCCCCCCTTTTCTAGGACTGGGCCGCGTGGGTACAAAGCCAAACACCCTTGCTCAACCCCTGCGATGCTGTCAGGTTTCCAGAGTTCCGTGTATCTCCAAAGTAAAGCTTAACGACCGGATTCTGCGCCAGATTCCTAGTCAGGGGATGGCTTAGCGTACTGGCCTGAATACGTCTGGACATCTATAATCTTCTTTGAACATCTATCACAAGTAGACCTGTTGAGGAAGGCAAGTAAGACGAGTGGACTTATATCATTCAAGCTAGAAGAAAAGATTGTGAATTGGAAGCATAGCATATCTTTACTCTTGCACAGGCCGTAATAATGTGCAGATTTAAGAGCAGAGCTTTTATTGTGATGGACCTTTGGGGGGGTTAGTAACATTCAACTTCGTTTTATTCGCCTTCTAGGAATCCTTCAAAGCTCCTGCCATAAGCGATTAGTACCGAACGCGTAATGACCGTCCGGTTGTTAGTCAAGAGAATATCATCTTTACCACTTCTGCCATGATATAGTCCTCAGCTCAGAAGCTGTAACACTTCTGTACACGCATTCTCTAACACATTGAGTGCAATCTTCATTATTCTCAACTTACCTCCTAATAGAGGTGACTATATTGACCTCATGGCACTGCTCATCCTCAACTCCCAATTCACGATCAATCCTGGTCAAGTCCCAGAATGTAGCAATCCATAATGCATACTAGCTCTGCTTTATAATGATGGCTCGGTAGTAATAACCGCCATGACTTCTCTTGCGCCAACGGCAGGTGTAGCCTGGTTACAGTTGATTTGGTCGACATTTGTGCTAATGAAGTTGCTGCAACCAGTGGGACAGCAATCAACGAACGTCACTGTAGCTACCCAGGTAATTAATATCAACAGTCATGATGCTTTTGCCAAGCTGCTCGATTGGTATTCACTTTACTCTAGACTGAGTTTCATACAAGTTTTAAAATAAGGAGATTCTTTTTTGATCCTTTCCTGAACATGAATATCGAGATGCGTAAAGTAAGCGGCCGTGTGCACCCACTGAAGTAAACCACAGCCTCGTTAGGAGCTATCGAACCTACCAACCTACCTAACACTCACACTGCGGTACAGTTCATCTGGACCACTGGCAAACAACGCACCTGAAGGTTCTCCTGCACTGAACCACCTCGCTGCCGTGGTCCCGAAGGTAGGTAGTCAGGTGCGATAGCCATGAGGCTTGTCGCTTAGCTCAGCTCAATCTTCCATAGGCCGTGGAGCTCCACGATAAAGCTCAGGTGACATGCCGAGTTATTTGAATTCAATACCGCGGCAAGCATGGGGCTGGAAGCTGAAAATAAGCTTCCGCAACGGACGCATCCTCTAGCGCCAAATCATGTGTACTAAATATTTAAGAGAGAAGAAAGTCATCATTTATGCGGTGGGTCTGAAGTCGGATTTTCCCTGTGCCTAAGGGGGAGACTTTTTTGTGGGCCCATGGAGTTACTGACCGGTGTGTTGGCCGACGAGAATCAAAGAAGCAAGGGCCAGGTCCCTAGCCATCATCCATCTCAACAGCAGACGGGTTGGTCACGTCCCTACTCGCATGAATCGACTGTCGCCACGAATGGCTGCTGGGCCCGGCTTACGACAATTCTTCGTCTTGGCAAAGGAGAGTGGGTCGTGTGTTGCTAAAATCTTGTGGCATGATGGTGATACTGGGGCCAAGCATTAATCACTCGTCACTAACCCAACATCTAGGCCAGGTTCGTGTTTCTTATGACAGTAAAGAATAATTAGGTGCGATAGCCAAATAGATATCTAATCAAATATGTTAGTTGAAACAAACGAATATTCTTCTAATTCTTTTTTTTAGCCCTGTAGTCGTGAATGCGTGACCACTTCAATCAATCGAAGGGAGGTGCAGGGTAGCTACACCTCACTGTACGTCACAGGCGCGTTCCAGGCCAACGCCCCAACAGAGAAAACAACCTATTTAACATCATCCACCATCCAGCCATCCACTCATCGACCAACCATCAATCCTCCACACCAACATGTACTCAGCGCCTACTCGTCGCCTCAAAGCGCTTCGAGGCTGTTGTCCTCAATCCGTGTGGACTTGACTCGACCCGGTTGATCCATCTCACGACGTGTGCTACCCAAACAGCGACGACAACCAACTCGAGTTGACAGCGCAACCACGCCGACTCGACATCACCCCCACGATACTTGCCGACCCCCGCATCCGATCGCGATTCCCATCGAGACTAAGCGCCATGGGGAATAATACGACACGGCCCTTCTGCATGTTCGCCACCTGGCACTCGGCGCAGTAGAGAAGGTTGCTCTGGGGCTGGCGCGATGTCTCCAACATTGAGTTTCTGGCAGGCTTGATTGTGCAGGGGCACGACTGGCAATTTGTCGCCACGGCCCGGGGGATGACGAGAATGTACTGGTGAGGGTGTTTCGGCTAGGGGTCTATATCGGGGACACGAGGTCTAAAGAGGCCATCTACAAGCTGCTTGTGTCATTACAGCGGCTGGCTTCATATAGATACCCCATGAAAGGGAAGGGATACCACCCCAGGCCACTATAGGACCAAGATGTATTTTGGCTTGCATTTGAAGCTGATTCTAGCATTCCCGATGGAACGAATGGCTGTGTCCCAGATGGAAGACATTACCGCACTTGAGATGGATATTAGAGGTCTACTGTACCGCCCCCCTATGGCTTGTGACATTGACACAGCGGCCACCTATTTCAACGCCCTTCGAGGATATAAGTGCCGGGCTGATCACAACCACACTCTCTCCATGGTTCCAAACAAGGTGGCTGCTACATACGACTTGATCATCGTTCTAGAGGTCTAAAGTGACTTGATGAGAGTCTTGCAGAGAATGTGTAGATAGTAGAGATCTAGTTCTAGCAATACCGGCTTCTACCGAAAGGGCTGGTAGTATGCCGTTTGAGTTTTCAATTTCGGCAAATTGACCGAAGACATATTGGAACGAGGGTCCTTGTGACAACTAGAGAACTATTTGCAGTTCACACCAGGTTGAGGCTAGAAAGACTACGCATCTGTGGCCAGTAAGTGTGCCCCTTGGCTGGATGTTCATCTTCCGTTTTCTATCATTAGAGCTCCGGAGCAACTAAGGCAAGGACTACCACTATCTACACGCCTCAACTCAAACCAATCCAGATTCTATTCTCATGTTAAGGCCCGGCAATGAAGCCAATCTCTAAGAATGACCAGCCTGACCCGTAAAACTACCCGTCTAAAAATTCAAATCATATTTAATGAGTTAAGACTGATGATCTCCTCATCTTTGGATATTCTAAACTCTCCGTACATCAATCCATGCACGTACGTATCCCCGGTGCCCTGAGGTTGCCACGATGCTGGCGTAGAATGACAGGCACACTGCTTCTTCGAACAGGGAATCGCTTCACCATCACGACCGACACATCCATTGGAGGAATTGCGGCGAAAGCCTTCAGTGGCAGAACAGTTTCTTCTCAACGTCAACAGAAAGAGACATTGATATCTCTTGGAGGACATCTTCATCATTTTCCCAATCCCTACACGGCTTACTGTAGCTACATGAAGGAGAGGCCAATCAGCATATACGTAGGGGGTTGGCAGGCGTTGCCTATTGCCTTCAGCAGCCGACAGCGAACACACAATTTTTTTTTCAGCGTTTCTGATCTTTTTGGACCTCGTGATCATATGCTAGGTACCGATAGGAGGCCCATCGATGGTACGTATCTGGGGTTGATCAGAAGAAGGCCCGCCGTGCGAGCTCTAGGCCGGGCACGCAACAATAGAGCGGGAATTGGTGACCTCCTCAATGACGATGGTAAATTAAAGTCATTATTAGAGTTAGCGCCAGAAACGCGGGGCATCGAGGATCGCCAGGCGCCAGGGTAGGCTTAATCTTGGCACAGTTCAACAAGGCCGATGCTTTTCGGGTTGAGGTAGTTGAGGTAGCCCGATTTGCACTCTCCAAGACCTGGGACCTTCTTCTCTTCCATTTTGGATAGGGCAGAGGTATAACGGAAATACGCTCTGGAGGCAAGTGACATCCTAAATCGGGGGGCTGTGTTGACAACTTGTGCTTGGCAATACGGATTAAGTTGCCAAGGATGGCTTTGCACCGCTCTAGCTCGAGAAGCAAGGGGCCTCCAGCTCCACCGTTTGGCAACCTACGGGGTCCAGGTAGATTGCTAGCTCATCTGCCTCGCTCTTGATTGGCCGCCTTGAACTTAGCAGGTCATTTGCGTCCGGATAGCTGTGTATCCGGCTTGGCTCTCTGTTTGCCTTGTATCCCTATGACGCGCGGGCTGGTAGAAGGAAGTATGTTGAGCGATGGCTTCATCGCAGATCGGCATGACTAGAAGGAATGGAGGCTTTCAGTTATGATATCAGACGATGTCAAATGCTCTATAAGAAGCATTGGGTGGTTCACCACAAGTGCTCATAGTTCCTCATCTCAGCATCTTCACAAGTACATCTTTACTCCTTCTTAACTCATCGACTTTCACCTCGCAACAAATTCCACCCGAATTCTCAGTTTTAAGATGAGATTCAGTATCGTTGCTACCCTCGGCCTCGCTGCCGTTGCTCATGCCCAGCCTGTTGCCAACACTATTGATACTCGTCTTGTTCATATCAAACTCGGCGACAAGGGCGAGAAAAGCCCCTTCTCCTTCACCTCTACCTATTCGCTCTATGCCACCCCTGAGGAGGTCGTTGACAGCAAC